GGTATTAATAGTATTGTACTATACTACAATTAACAGTACCACAATGAAAGAAAATTATATCACAGTAAGGTGCAGAAAAAATATATGACGTGTGTGTATATATATATATATTTTTAAAATAATTTATAAAATATAGATATATAATTTAAATATACAATATATAATAAATTATTGTTTGAGGGTTTAACTTTGTAAATAATTAAATTTTACACTAAATAAACAATGCGTTGTGTTTATAGTTTTAGATTGAATTAATTTGAGTTTATTTATATAGCACCAATTCACAACCAATGTCGTATCGAGGCACTATATAAAAAAATTTCACTTTAATCACATACATTCCAACTGATACTAGTTATCAAAATTAAGCTCAGTCAGTTGTTCGAAGTAGTTTAAAGAATTTGGATTAAAGGAAACCTACAGGAGGGTCACATTCAACATTGCTGTTAAATGTTATTTGTATTGTTTAATGTTGGATAACTGATTTGATTATTTCAGATTATAAGTGTTATGTAATGTCAGTGTTTCCCATAGTTAGCTTGCCATGGCGGGGTGCTCATCTCATCCATGATTTTTGCTGATGGGGGGACGGAGACATGTCTGAGCGCAGCTTGTACTAACAGTTTTTGAGCGGGAGCGGGGGGCGTTCAACATGAGAACATGAGGGAAGAGGCAATGTGAGTGCTGCCTTGGGCTTTTTAGCTAGAGAGCCTGTATTTTACGCCGCTAGCTTAGTGATATGTCAGTACCGGGTGGGGGTGGGAGGGGCAAGTTCAGTTTGGTAGGCGGGGTGCTCAGTTCTGTTGACAGGGTGGGGCACCCTGCCTGCATAATGGTAGGGGAAACACTGAATGTTATTGATCAGTAAAAGGGGTGTAACGGTACATGTGGGTGTATTGAACTGTTTCAATACGGCATGTTCGGTTTGGTCCATGTGTGTATCGTTTCAGTTATTTTTTCACTCATTAATCAATCATTGACTGACTTTAAAAAAGCCTTAAAGCCTTTTCTTTTTAAGCAAGCCTATTCTGCCTCCACATGATTTTATCTTTGATTTTAGTTGATTTTATCATTGATTTTAGTTGCACTCTGTAGCATTTTGAGATTTTTGTTAATGAAAAGTGCATTACAAATTAAATTCATTATTATTATTATTATTATGAAATTTTATTAACGAGAGATTATGCGCCGCGGAACTAAAGTTCCTAAGCGTGTTTCAGCACGGCGCTATTATCTTGCAGCACACGTAGCATTATCAGCCTAGCAGCTTGTTGTGGTCCACACCATTGGTTGGTTCTCTAACTATCTTTCAGATCAAAGGCAATGTGTTCAACATAATGGTGTTTCCTCCAGTTACCTAACTGTCAGTAATGGTGTACCACAAGGCTCAGTCTTAGGACCCACCCTCTTTACATTCTATATAGGTAATGTAGGTCAGAGCATCCCTGATACATCCTTACATTTCTATGCTGATGACAGTTGTTTATTATCAAGCTAAAACAGTTGATAAGGTTTTCCAGCTTTTGCAATCTGCATTCAATGTCATCCAGTCAGATTTTTTTCATCTCAAACTTGTCTTAAATGCCAACAAAACTAAAGGGATGTTTTTTTCAAACAGGAAGTCAGTCCCAGCAGTTCTTCCTCTGATTTTATCCTCAAATGGTGTCCCCATTGAGTTTGTTGATTCCTATAAATATTTGTGTATCTTGGTCGATTCACATCTCTCTTTTAAGCTTCATGTGGAAAACTTGGTAAAGAAACTGGAAGTTAAACTTGGTTTCTTTTTCAGAACCAGATCCTGTCTAACCCTGAATGTTAGGAAACACCTTGTATCTGTGACTTTCCTTCACTCAATTGATCACGGTGACATTATTTACATGAACGCTCCTACAAGAACCCTGCAGATGTTGGATGCTGCAGATGTTGGATGCTGCAGATGGTGGATGCTGTCTATCATGGTGCACTAAGATTCATAACTGGCTGTAACTACCGTACCCACCACTGCACCCAGTATTCACTGGTTAACTGGTCACCATTAACTTCACGCAGACTCTCTCACTGGTACATTTTCATCTTTAAATCACTTCTTGGTCTGCTGCCTTCATACATCTCCTTTTTTTTTTCATTCAACCTTTATTTAAACGGATCAATCACATTGAGCCTCGAAGACTCATTTACAAGTGAGATCTGTTTGGACAGACAAAAAACAGTGGTTAACTGGACACATGGAGGAGTTGGAGGCGAAAAAAATTACTATCAGACTTTTTTTCTTGGCTGAGAAAAAACCCAAATATTAAAAAAACACCTTGCACAAACAAGCACATATTTACGTAGACATTCTGCAGAGCAGAGCAGGAAGAAGGAAGAGACGAGAGCGGTCAACAACGTCTACAGATGCTCTCGAGGTCACTGTAATCAGTCAATGTCCTCCGGTGAGATCCATAAACATTCTCGAGGTATGTCGAGAAATGGCCAAGGATAACCTCTATGAGAATCCAGAGTCCTGAAATGATGACACAAAGTTTATTCAGCTGGTTCCATCTGGTTATCAGTTGGAAATTCCTCAGGGATGGGGTGGTGAGCATCAGATCACATTTTCTCCAGGCGACTTTAGATAAGATGGCCTTCAAGGACCAAGGCGACCAAAATTTAGATAAACACACAGTTGTTTTGGAGACAGGCAGAACTTAATGACATCAACCTTCAGTCTGTGTTGGACCACTCGGTTCCAAAATGTCCAAATTAACATGGCCACACCAATAAAACGTGTCTGAGTAAAAATCCCCAAGATCTGATCCATTCAGCCCAAAGCATTTGAGTCCGGGTACTCCAGACATGAACCCAGCCATCAAAAAGGCAAGCAGCGTGATCGGGTCCAAATTTGCAGCCGACGACTTCCTTGATTGTAGATAAAACCAGCACCAGCTGAATCCAAAAAGCAGGAACCAGTTATCGAAAATCCAATTAAATATTTGTCCTTAAAATCCACAGATGGCAGCAGAGATAGACACATCATCAAGTTTTCCAGTCGATGAGATATTCAGCTGCGTACATGCCAACAGGGTAAATCGGCTCGCCCAAAGCCTGTCTTCTCTTCAAGAAATGTTGTAAATTGTGTTGAGGGACCAACTGATCAGAACAAGTCCATAATTATGGTTCAGAAGAAATGCAAGAGAGTCTCAGAAGCAGTTTCACAGACAGACAGAGCAGCAAAGCAAAGCAGAGAGGGAGGGAGGGAAGCATCCGATCTCGTGGGGAGCGAGTGGTGAAGTGGTACATGTCTCTGTGTGAGTGCAGCTACAGCGTGCGCTCTCAGGATATCTCTGTTTTCAAGTCCCGTTTAAAAAAAAACCCACTACTATTCAGCAGCTTTCAACACCAGATGATCTGTGTTTGATCCTGTATGCTCCACACTGGTTAGTCGTCACTATCTGCATCGTTTTTATGTCTATATTCTGATTTACCTCATTTTGTATTTTGCTTTGTGTGTTACCTGTTGTTCTGTCTGTACAGCACTTTGGTTGGCCTTGTAGCTGTTTTAAGTGCTCTATAAATAAAGTGGTATGGTATTACCTGCAGTGTTCCCTCAGTGAGGACTGAACTAGACAAAAGGACCTTCTCCTGCTCCGCTCCTGTTTCCTGGAATATCTTGTAAAAAGATCTGAAGCTCTCGACCTTTGACCTCTCTTAGCGTCTTCAAACATCTGTTAAGTTCCTGCAGATGTTCCTGTTTTTAGTTTTTTACACCTCCTTCTAATCTAGCTGTTTTTGCTACTATTCCTCTTGATTGTCCTTTTGGTTACTACTTTGTTTTGATCTGTAAAAAATAAAGAAGAGAAATTTAAATTTGCATGCCTATTTTATGACTGTTGTTGTTGTTGTGCACTGTTGTCATCACTCTGTTAAAAAATCAAGTCTCACCTGTAAATGAGTCCTCGAGACTCAATGGGACTAACCTGTAGAAATAAAGGTTGAATGATTTACTAAACGAGGCAAAGTCGTGTCCGTGTAACGAGCGTCAAACCTGATGTGAGCTGACATCATCAAACTAAACCTTCTCCTGTCATCAAAGTTTCCCAGTTGGTGATTGAAGGTCCAGCACCATCACTGATGGAGCCAGGCCTGTCGTTATTTTGTCTTCTTTGCTCTTTTTCTACGCTTTGCCTTGAAATGAAACTCTGCAAACATCCAGAGATCCTTCAAAGCTTCTGCAGAAACCCTGCAGGAGCATCAAAATCATCAGAATCTGCTGAAAAGGATCAATATTTGTTGCCAATCACTTCAGAAAGTGAATCTCCTGTAGAACATAGTGAAATATTTCTTCTTGTTCTGATGATGATAACTTGCAGAGAATGACAAACCAAAACTCAGAATGCTTTTAGAAAAATGTTCCCACCGTTTCATATTGCTCAACACAAATACCTTTTGAAATGAGTGAAAGCATGGAGGATGTATTTTTTATTCAGCAGTGATGGGTTTGTGCCCCCCCTCAGGTGCAGCTCCATCAGACCCTGTCCAGCCAATATGTGATCCGGACTCAGCCCTCCAACATCTGCCTGTCCACGCTGGAGTGTGCTGCTGTGGCCTTGTCCATCCTGGAGCAGGACGCCGACATCCTGGAGGTCATTTTACAACAAGCTCTTTAAGTTTTCTGACATTTGACAAGTCACTGTTTTATTTATCAGTTCAAAGATAACCAGAGCTTTCCCTGAAAACTGTTCTGTAATGTTCTCTGCTGAACGTTTGTTGCTGACAGCTGCTGAAAAGCTTTTACTGAGTTGACTTTGAAGAGCTGAAAGCAGCAACATTTCAAATAGAAAGCAGAAAAACTGCAGAAATGTGAAGAAAACGCTGAAATGAGCTCAAATATGCAGAGGTTGAAATAGATAATAAAAAAAAATCTGGAAGTAAAAAAAAAGAAGAGAAAAGCAAAAAACGTTTCACAGAAATAAACTGAAAGGGTTAGAATAAAGTTGAAATGAGCTTAAATAAATAGAGTATAAAATAGCTGACCTTTGACCTCCTGACCCTAACATGAATAGGAATCATTGTCAGCTGGAGTCATTTAAACTCATGGGTGTTCTGGGTGGTGAAGTGTTGGTGAAGGTAGACTGTTTGAACTCTGATCACTGATGAAAATGTCTCACCAGCATCACTGACATCATAATCAGCAGCAGCTGTCAATCAGCTTGTAGAGGAGATAACACATGTTTGAAGAGTCTAATAAAGAATTATTTCCCAGCTGAATGCATGCAGCTCAAAAACTTCACTTTGTTTTCTGTAACTACAGAAGATCATGAAATCTGATCCACATCAAAGCATCATGTTGTCAACTTTTGAATAAAGTCCTATTCACACAGGACCAGTTTTACCTGGGGACCACATGTAATCAATAAATTACTCCCCAACGTCTGCTTTTGATGTGACGCATTCACACGGGATAATCAAAGATTTAGCTGAAATTTATGGACATCTTCCGGAGATGATGTTAACGCACTGCGTTGTCACGACCGGGCCGGTCCATATAATGTGCTTAATGTGCAGGCCGGGCCGGTCTCAGGCTTTGATGTGGTTTTATGAATCAGCACAAAGAAAACTAAAGAATGAACAATATAAAATAATGTTCATCTGCTTGTTGAGGAGGAGGCAGGTCCGACCGGCCGGTTTAAGAGGTTAAAAAAAAGGCATGTTAAGCTCAGATGGACAACCTGTCACTGGCCGCGCACGTGAGCGTCCACGCGTCCACTGACCCGCCGGTTGAAATGGACTTGAGACCTGTCCAGGTTGTCCCCACCTCTCACACAGTGATGGCTGGACATGGGCACCTGTGACTCCAGCAACCCGAAAAGGAAGAAGCGGGTAAATATGATGGATGGATGGATGGATGGATGGGTGGATGGATGGATGGGTGGATGGATGGATGGATGGGTGGATGGGTGGATGGATGGATGGGTGGGTGGATGGATGGGTGGATGGATGGGTGGATGGGTGGGTGGATGGATGGATGAGTTGATGGCGGGCACATCTCCGCACCCACCTCATGTCATCTGCGGTGAAGGAAGTAGCAGCATAAAGGCTGCAGCGAGCAGCACGTTCATTTAAAATACCCTTATTCTATGAAAACTGTCCAGAAAAGAAACCGTCCAGATGACCTGACTGAAAATTGTTGGATTGTATACCTGGATTATTGAGCATGGACTGTTTTGGTTTTGAACCAGTTTGACACGACTGTCGACAAGGAAGAGGGCCAGCACAAGAGGAGGGGGTGCCAAAGACACCATCTTAGCACCAACAGAACTGGTTTGTTCCACTTTGGAGTAAGCTGTTTGGGGGAAGAACCAGTTTTGTATTGTGTGTTTCCTTGACTGATGAAGCCTTCTGGATGGAAGGTGAAACGTTTCAGCACAAAAAGAAACTGTCCAGATGACCTGACTGAAACATGTTGAACCTTATTCTATATTTTTCCAAATGATTTTGCTTAAACAAAAACAAAACCACCTCATTATGTATCAGATCCCGCCCATTTCTGTCCAAATCACAGAGATGCCTATTCACATTGGATTAGTATTATCACAGAACCTCGACGTTCAGCAAAATATAATAGGTAATGTGCGGGGGTATTTTTACTTTACAAATTACTGACATGGCCGGTTCACACGGGATTAACAACACAGACAATCTCCGTAATTATTACAAATAGCATGTGGTCCCTTGGTAAAACTAATGTGAAAAGGGCTTAAGACGCTTTGAATGTGTAACTTTATGACTACAGTGGTCCCTCGTTTATCGCGGGTGTCTGGGACCACGCCCACCAGCGATAAGTGAAAAACCGTGAAGTAGAGATACAGTAGTCCAAGTTCAGTTCAAGTTCAGTAAAGTTTGTCATGACATGTGTCAGGCTGTAATCACACTCATCACCTGTTCCTCCCAATCTCCCTCCTTAAATGAACAAGTTACGTTTAAATACTGTAACATTTTAAATACACAATACATGCAGCATGGATTGTGTATTTAAAATGTTACAGTATTTAAATGTAACTTGTAGAGAAGAGAAGAGCAGCAGGACATCACAGGATGTCACAGCTTCAGCTCTGCAGCACGGAGCACAAATGTTCTTCTTGATCAATGACACTGAAACAACCAAACATAGAAGTTCTAAAATAATTAAAAATAACTTTTAACACTTTTGTATTTTGTGATTATGACGATTTTACGATGTGACATACTTTGAATTTTAAGATGGAAGACAAAAGTTGATCGGTGCATCTGGACAGCAAAGGGTTAACCTTCACAAAGCTGCTGCAGGAGAAATGTGTGTGTGTGGCAGACAAGGAGATCAGCTGATCAGCTGCAGGAGGGAGCTTCCCCTGCACTTGTGGGCTGCACACATGGTGCAAAATCATTTAAAATAATTTATTTTACATAAACAACCCATAGCTCATCCATCAATCAGCCAACTGTGTCATTTCCAATCTTACTTTGAAAAACTGTGATAAAGCGAATCCGCGAAAAATGAGCCGCGAAGCAGCGAGGGACTCGTGTATTCATATTCCTCAGAGTCTGCCATCGCATACAAAAAGACTAAAGGAAGCTGTTACCCACAAGCTGTCAGATTACTGTACTCTCAATAAATTTTTATTAATTTTATTTTTTTCTCTGTACTCCGGTGAAGACAGACGTGTTCTCCCGGCGCTCCGTGTACCCCCCCCCCCCCCCCCCCCCGCTTCCCTGCTTGCACTATTTCGTCCTGTGAGTGTGAACTCTTACAGAGCCTCTAAAAAAGTTAAATCTGGTCATCTGGGCATGAGGAGAGACGGTATAAAAAAATGTCCAGAGGACCAGATTTAACTTTTCTAGATTTTTCTACCTGGATTATTGAGCATCATCAGGATACTTAAAGAGATTATTTTGTATTTTTCTGCATACCTCCTAATTCGAAGGATCAGCTGGTCTCTCAACAAATTGATCCACTTCTCCCGACAGGAGTCAGGGTAAGGAGGACCCTCTTACCTCAACGGAAACTAATTGGATTCATGATGACGACTGTTTTTTTTGCTGTTTGGCTGGTGAATTCTGGATTGTCTGTAAATCATGTGGATGTGTCGAAGCTCGACAGCACTCAGACTGAATTATGTGGAGCTGCAGCAGGGAGCTGGAGCAGCTGGTATCAGGACTGCGGACGCTCTAGCAGCACACATGAAGGTGGGAATAATCTTGGAGAAGCTGTGAGCTCGACTTTGGAGTAAAGGATCAATTCAGCTGTTTGGAGTTTCCATCAGAGAATATGTACCAGCGAGACTTTAAAGGCAGAAACAACAATTCACGAGTTCTGTCTGACCCAAACTGTGGCCTCGATGCCGGACTTATCTCAACTCCTCCTGGAATGTTTGGAAATCAACAAAGATGCTTTGACTGTTTCCTCACCCCTCCCTTCCCCAAGGACATGTAACAGAACCTCAACTGAGCTGAAGATGAACGTCACCTCTTATCTGGACAATGGCTGAGGGGGGGCTCTGGACTATGCTACGACTTTCCCTTAAAACTTCAACATCTTCACGGCCTATATGTTCATGTATCACGTCTGTTGATGTTGCTTTGCTGTGGAGGTTTGTTTGATGCCTCAAATCGTGCCCTGTCTAGGACACGGAGTGAGAGATCTTTTTTTATACCGTCTCTCCTCATGTTTTCTTTCCTTTTCTCATCTAAGCAAAATATTATTCTGAATAAGAATAAGAGGCTGTGCTTTTTGTAGTAGCAGCGTCGTGCACTCTGTCCATCTTTCAGACGACTGTACGTGCATGTTCTCGATGTATCTCGGTGCAAAGATAATAAAGTTTATTCTGATTGTGATAAAACACTGAACAACTGGAAATAACTAACTAATAATTCACCCTCAATGTCACTATCTATGCAATAACCTGTCACACAACCCGTGTGGTATATGAGCTATATATCTATATCTATATATACATTGTAAATATTTTAATTACTTTTTCACTTTTTGGTACTTTATTTTGCGTACCCTTACTGCACGCTTTTTGTATTTTCTCATTGGTTTGTTCTTTGCTTTATTTTTAGCGAGTCAAATCAGTTCTTCTCATCCTAAGCATTTCATTGTACTGTTAATCCTGTGTTAACCTGCACATGACAAATAAACACAACTTGAAATCAACCTCCATTTTTAACTGATTAAACATACTAGTCTGAAATATTTTTACCACAAAAAGGCAGGAGTTTTTCTGTTAATTTAGGGAAATGTTCTTCATCTCCAGCTCCTCTGATCTGTGGAGTCCCTCAAGGGTCTATTTTAGGTCCATTGCTTTTTAATCTTTACATGTTGCCTTTGGGGTCCATTTTTAGAAAACACAACATCCCTTTTCACTGCTTTGCTGATGATACTCAGTTATATCTTCCGATTGAGTCAGACAGGGTCACTTCACTGGATCCACTCTTGAACTGTCTAAATGACATTAAAGTCTGGTTAAAACTAAATTTTCTGAATCTAAATGAAAATAAAACGGAAGTCATCAGCTTTGGTAAATGTAATACCCTTAATGTGCTTGGTCCCTTGGCTTCATACAGCCACTCCAGTGTCAGGAATCTGGGAGTTATTTTTGACAGT